CTTTACCCAAACCATCTCCAGTTAGATTAGGTTTTAGTTCTTTTATGTGAATACTTATTAAAGCCATTATTGTTTGTTTTTAAATTACAAACTGCATGTTTTTTTTTCTGAGTTAGTCTTTATTCTTTAGGAAGACAGATTTAAAATAATAGTCTGGCCGACACTTCTGTTGCTCTGCTAATGAAAGCTGGACTCTAACAGCTTTGACTTTCATATTTGCATATATTTGTTTCTCTTTACAAGGGTTAACACCCTGGGAAACTTAAATTGCAGTGCAGCATGAACTGGACAAGATACTAAAGAGCAAAGACATACAACTGAGCACTAAAGTCAGAATTGTTTGGGCCATTGTATTTCCAATTGCCATGTGTAGCTGGACAGTGAAGGAAGTAGACAGAAAGAAAACCAACTCATTTGAGATATGGTGCTGGAGAAGAGTACTGAGGATACTGTGGACAGCCAAGAAGACCAACAAATGGGGTCTTGAACAGATCAGACCAGAGCTCTCCTTGGAAGCAAAGATGATGAAGTTGAGACTATTGTACTTTGGCTACATAATGAGAAGACATGGTTCATTAGAAAAAACAATAATGCCAGGAAAAGTAAAGGGTAGAAGAAAAAGAGGAAGACCGCAAATCAGATGGATAGACTTAATCAGGGGGGTTATGGGCAAGGGCTTGCAGGATCTGGGCAAGGCAGTGGAGGACAGGAACTCTTGAAGATGTCTCATCCACAGGGTTGCTATGAGTCGGAGTTGACGCAAGGGCAGCTAACAACAACAAATGTATTGGTTAGCAAAGATGTTCTCTTAAGGGCTTTTCCCATGTTCCCCCAAACTCCAAAGTATCAAGGAATTCTGTTAAGGACCATGGCCTTAACAGAGACGTAATCTAGCTCAAGGGTGAGCATGCAGAAGGGCTGTTTTTGGCACCTCTGGATCCACAGTGCTCCTCCTAGAAGTGACCAGAAGTGGGGTTGCCAGGTTGCTATTCCAGGTGTTGAGATTCAGAACCTGAAACCTAGAGATGACTCCTTGTGATGTCACAGAGGAGGGCTTGGTGATGTCATTAAGCATCAGCGACAGGCGCATAGAGTATGCCATTCAAATAAAAAAATGCTAAATTAGTAAATGAGGGGCATACATGCATGCACACACACAGTTTTCATGAAAGTACTTTTGCATCAAGATTTTCTTATCCTCACACTGAGGACTGTAAACACAGGACCAAGCCCTGAGATATGGAAACTAGCAGGAAATGATGTTCTAAGTAACTAGAATTCACTTCTGCCTACTTTTGGATCTTTCTTTTCACTGTTTTTGGCTGTTTTGGAACATGTGCCTCCCTGAAACAGCCCTTTAGGCCAGAACTATATGATCTAAAGATGTTCTTCAGTTGGAAGTCATGTTTTGGGGACATTTCCCCTCCTTGTTTTGAGAAGGACTAGAGGAGTCTGTTGGGGTGTCAAGGCCTACAGAAGATATTCATATGGCAAATGGGCCATACAGTTCCTATCCCAATGCAGACAGTATAGTGATTAGCTGGGGTTTTACCATTTGGTAAACACTATTTTTAAAATTTAATTTTACTAAAAAAATCAAGACAATTACAACAAAGTGTATTGCCTTTAATATCAGTTGCCAGTGGACATTATTTCTTGTTGCATGTTGCAAAAGGGATTTTGTTATTGGTGGTAGTGTATATAAACTATTAGAGTCTTCCTGAAAGTTATGAGCATTCTATGCTATTATGGTCGGTTTCAGCTAATAACCATATTTGGGGAAATTTCTCTCAAGCATTTATTAAATTTGGACACGGTTTGTGCCTTACCCACGTTTTGTTTCTTAAAGAAAAATCTCCAGTAGATTGTATCCCATATTCCTTGCTTATATACTGTATATACTCGATTATATGTCAGCCTCATGTATACAGTAAGTCAAAGACTTTGGGGCCAAAATTATGGCTTTTGATATGACCCATGGATAAGTCGAGGGTAAAATCTAGGGGCATGTAACAAAAAATTCTACAGGATGAAGCAAAGGAAAACAATGGCAAAGAACTTACTAAATTCCAGCAGGTATAATTGTTTGTGCTCACACTTAAGGTTGGATGGATGCGAGAGTTGAAGGAGATCAATGCTTCTAGGACAGATTACATTTT